TCGATTTAATCAAAACAGATTAATTTATAAACAAAACACTTCAGTGTTGCTCTGCTCTATATCATAACCTATACATTTTAAATAAACAATGTTAAAATAAATAATAAATAATTATAAATAAATAATACTTAACCACCAGTAGGTGGTGGCAAGTCCCTGTTATAGCGAGTGATTCATTAAACCATTAATTCAAATGATTTGTTCAAAAGAACTGATTCATTTAGATATGAAGCAGGAATGGATTGCGGAATGTTTGATCCGCTTGATTCAATCAAAACAGATACATTTTTGAACAAAACACTTCAGTGTTGCTCTGCTCGAAAAATAATTAGGCAATTATATGTCTAAAATGCAACTCGATCAGTATGTATCACTCAATATGACCATTGTAAGCTTGCTCACATGCTATTTTTAAAAAAGATATGACTAAACTATATCTTAACCTATACATTTTGAATAAAAAAAATTTAAAATAAACAATAAATAATTATAAATAAATAATACGTAACCACCAGTAGGTGGTGGCAAGTCCCTGTTATAGTGAGTGATTCATTAAACCATTAATTCAAATGATTTGTTCAAAACAACTGATTCATTTAGATATGAAGCAGAAATGGATTGCGGAATGTTTGATCTGCTTGATTCAATCAAAACAGATTAACGTATGAACAAAACACTTCAGTGTTGCTCTGCTCAGAGCAGAAAAACAATAAGGCAATTTTGTGTCTAAAATGTAACTCAATTAGTGTTAATGTACGTAAAACTGTATGAAATCAGTACCACTCCTGTGGTCACATTACTAAACTGTATCATACATTTTTGTATTATATTTTACTATACTTTTTTAAAATAGAAAAAAATCCTTAAGCTTGCATGTTGTTTAAACAATTATCATATTACAGCAGAGAATAAATATTGCACAGCCATAATCATGCGCCATAAAAAACTCAAATAGTGTCTACAAAAAAGAAAAGAACCTTCAAAATGCATCTCAATTAGAAAAATTTAGTTGAAACATTACATTTCAAACAAAGAATAAAACATCTGTTAGCAGATTACAGCATCCGAGACATGCTCGAAAGCAGATTAAAACATAAACAATTGCATAAGATAAAGAAAAGTGGAGAAAACTGCATCTCACCTATAAGCTGAGGCAGACGCAGCCAGAAGAATGGAGGAAGAAAGGGTCTCTGCAGGGGAGTGGGCAATGTAAGTATATATTGTATTCCCCTATGACCAAGGAAATCCCATCTCACTTTTTATGGAAGTAGATGCATTCAGAGAACCAATGGGCTCACACACACCTGAAACACAATATCAAATCCCACATCTGAAACCCCGCCATATAAATAACCCCTTTATAGATTGAGCAATTTATTTTTAATCCCACAAACAGAGGCCCAGTCATGAAGCAGGCTAAATGAACACTTTGCAATAATAAAACAATGCATTTCCTGAGCTTAAGATGAAGTAAAATAAGATGATGCATGCATAATGTATTGCAATATGATTTAAGAATTTGTCAGGCATGAAAATTATTTTTCAAGCATCAAAACAATCAACATTTTTTCTACAGAAATGTGTCTAAAAAAATATATTTAAAAATATTTATTTGATTATATTTTAAAATATTTTGCCACTATTTTTAAAGTACCAGGTTTTACCCATTTGTTACCAAGAAGGTAATGTAAATATATGTGAATCATTTAAGATATGATTTAATTTAGCACAAATAAATGTTCATTTTTCAGTCCTAAAGTTAGAATATCTTGATCTCGCTGGAGTTATGACAACATTTTATTCCCATCATAATGCATAAATTCAAGCGGAAGAGACAAGAAATACTAAACATGCCGACACTTGTCAACATCTATTTGTGTTGCTGCATCAATCAAAACTGGAAACAACTGTATACTTAAACGGTTAGATCTGCCAAAAGTGAATTTGTTCATCTTTGGGACACAAATGAAAATATTTTAGAAGAAATCCTCCATAGACAACAATGGTTCCTAGAAATGTCTCGAAAAGGAACCAAAAATATTGTCAAAATATTTCATGTGACTTTAGTGCCTCAACTGCAATCATATAAAGCTCTAGGAAAAAAATGGAAAAAATGTGTTTGTTTGCTTATATCTTGTCTCCCGCGTCAGGTCAAGGTGCAAACTTACTATAGTCAGTAAGGTGTACTAATTTAAAAATTAATTAATTAGGGATTCAACCCGCATGTGTCGTATTGCGTGTAATAAATGCACACCCTAATCTGACGAGGAAAACTTAAAGAACAATGTTCTTTACTCATTCAATTTCCTTCAGCTTAGTACCTTTATTCATCAGGGGTCGTCACAGCAAAATGAACCGCCAACTTATCAAGCATATGTTTTACACAGCAGATTCCCTTCCAACTGCAACCCAGTACTGGGAAACACCCATACACACTCATTCACACACATACACTACAGCCAATTTGGTGTATTTAAGTCACGTGTACTGCATGTCTTTGGACTGTGGGAGAAAACCCACGTGAACACAGGGAGAACATGCAAACTCCACAGAAATGCAAACTAACCCAGCCAGAACTTGAACCAGCGACCTTCTTGCTGTGAGGCAGCAGTGCTAACTACTTAGCCATCGTGTCAAATATATATATATATATATATATATATATATATATATATATATATATATATATATATATATATATATATATATATATATATATATATATATATATATATATATATATATATATATATATATATATATATATATATATATATATATATATATATATATATATATATATATATATATATATATATATATATATATATATATATATATATATATATATATATATATATATATATATATATATATATATATATATATATATATATACATACATAGTAATATGAAACGTTCACATATCTTTTCCAAGTTCATTATTTGAGATGTACAACCAGAATGCAGGGAAAGTGGCCACTGTACACTGTAGCTCGTGAAGACTGTGGGTGTTTACAGGAGTTCCACAGATCAATATGAATTTGTAGCTAAATTGTTAGCGGTGCCATACAGCGTTAGCCATTGTTTACATCCTGGCTACAAAATACAGGTAATGCTATACACCAGGGGTGTCCAAACTCTGTCCTGGAGGGCCAGTGTCCTGCAGATTTTAGCTCCAACTTGCCTCAACATACCTGCAAGGATGTTTCTAGAAAGCCTAGTAAGAGCTTGTCTAGCTAGCCCAGTTGTGTCTGATTGGGGTTGGAACTAAACTTTGCAGTACACCGGCCCTCCAGGACCGAGTTTGGACATTCCCGCTATAGATTAATTTGTACAAATGAAAATACTTACAAGTTGTGCCTCACGTCCACAGCTTCTACTATTATCGGAACTGCTCCTTTGTGGAGTTTTAGCCAAACTTAACTGAAAGAGACTGGAAGTCGTCCTTTGTCAAATGCTAGCTATATCTTTTTCATAATTCTCTGGAACATAATTAAAATTAAATTGTTCTCTCTTTGTGTAGTGTCCTTTGGAAGTACAGAAACAGAACAAGCTCTGTGCAAATAGCAGTGTTTAGCTTTTTTTGTTTAACCCAGACATATTTTTTTGTCCCAAACTTTGTTCGCTGTAGGCTTTGCAAAGCTAACTTTATACATGCCAATGTCTCCCTCTGCTTTAAACGTTGAGCATATTACATTCAGAGACGCTGTTTATGTTCATACGGCTACATTACACATCAACTAGGTTTAAAATATAATATATTAGCGGACCACCCCTTTAATTTTCTGTAGAAATGTTTTACTATAGTAGTCAACATTTGAAGTAGATGTTCATTTCAACTCTTCATAAAAGTTGAACTATTGAGCAACACCCATTATGGTCATAGGACAAATTAGAAAAACTTTTTTGATCCATGTCAAATGTTGATTATTGTACAAATTTTGGTAGCAAAATAGACATCATTCCCATATTAAGCAGTACAAGTCTTAATTCCCTGGTTTCCTTTTAAGCAACTGAATGGCAATGGACGCTGCAAGTTTTGCAGTGACGCATAAGTATTTATCAAAATTTTGCTCTGGAGGCAGCACTAAATGCAAATGTATTTGCTCATTTCTAAACAAGCAGCTAAGCCTGATTAAGTGTAAATTTAATAAGAGCTAAAGCAGAGCAATGATTTCTCTTTCCGTTTCCAACATAATGAATCAACTGGAAGGGTTATCAAGCGCAATTTGATCTCTTTCTTGACCCAGTATTTTTTGTATTGTTGATGCCAGAGCAGTCTAGAGGGACAAGGTACACTCTTGCTCATTCAGATGAGCCTGTGAACACATGAAGAGAAGCAGACTTATAAATGATCTATTTATATTTCCAAACGGCTGCTCTGGTGCTGATGGCTACCTCCCCAGGCACTCCAATATAGTAGCGTAATTAGCACAGCTGTCAAACAGACACCATACAAGAATCTGAAAATGTGGCAAATAAGAACCGTAATATTTTTCAGTACATTTGTATTATTTCCGCTCTATGGATGAAATGAATAAATGTCATGGCAAATAAGTTGTGATACATTTTTTTCTACTCTGTCTTAATGTATTTTATATTTAAGCGAAATAGATTCTACAAAAAAGTTTTGTAGGTGGTTTTCTATACTTGCACTGTAAAACAGAATAGATTCAATTTCTTAAACGAAATAATCTATAGATCAAAGTGCAAGATAAAGTTGCTGATTTTAAACTGCAAAATGGCATCAAGAATTCCAGTTTAATTTCTGTAATTGATCTGTAACACAATGGCATGTTGGGTATCATCTTAAATGAGAATGCTTCATTTGATAGACCTTCTGGTCTCTACACAATTTTAACTCATAGGTCTTTACACTCTTTGGTCTTCACTTGCACTGGTAGATTTGCTGGTCTTTACCCTCTTCAGTTTTCTCTCATACAGGTAGATTCCCTGGTCTTTACACTCTTCCGTCTTCACTAGCACAGGTAGAGTCCGTGGTATTTACACTCTACAGTCTTCACTAGCACAGGTAGAGTCCGTGGTCTTTACACTGTTCACTTGCACAGGTAGAGTCTCTGGTCTTTACACTCTTCCGTCTTCACTCGCACAGGTAGAGTCCCTGGTCTTTACACTCTTACTTGCACAGGTAGAGTCCCTGGTCTTTATACTCTGCACTTGCACAGGTAGAGTCATTGGTCTTTATACTCTGCCCTTGCACAGGTAGATTCCCTGGTCTTTACACTCATTGGTCTTCACTCGAACAGGTAGATTCCCTGGTCTTTACAATCTTTGGTCTTCACTCACGTAAGTAGATTCCCTGGTCTTTACAATCTTCGGTCTTCACTCACACAGGTAGATTCCCTGGTCTTTACAATCTTCGGTCTTCACTTACACAGGTAGATTCCCTGGTCTTTACACATTTCAGTCTTCACTTGGACAGGTAGATTCCCTGGTCTTTACGCTCTTTGGTTTTCCCTCGCACAGGTCGAATCTCTGGTCGTTACACTCTTCAGTCTTCACTCGCACGTGTAGATGCTTTGGTCTTTACACTCTTCTGTCTTCATTCGCACAGGTAGATTCCCTGGTCTTTACACATTTCCATCTTCATTCGCACAGGTAGATTCCCTGGTCTTTACATTCTTCCGTCTTCACACTTTTCGATCTTCACTTGCACATGTTGAATCCCTGGTCTTTATACTGTTCTGTCTTCACTTGCACAGGTAGATTTCTTGCTCTTTACACTCATCGGTCTTCACTCACACAGGTAGATTCCCTGGTCTTTACACATTTCAGTCTTCACTTGGACAGGTAGATTCCTTGGTCTTTACGCTCTTTGGTTTTCCCTCGCACAGGTAGAGTCTCTGGTCGTTACACTCTTCAGTCTTCACTCGCACGTGTCTTTACACTCTTCTGTCTTCATTCGCACAGGTAGATTCCCTGGTCTTTACACTTTTCCATCTTCATTCGCACAGGTAGATTCCCTGGTCTTTACATTCTTCCGTCTTCACACTTTTCGATCTTCACTTGCACATGTTGAATCCCTGGTCTTTATACTGTTCTGTCTTCACTTGCACAGGTAGATTTCTTGCTCTTTACACTCTACGGTCTTCACTCACACAGGTAGATTTCCTGCTCTTTACACTCTTCGGTCTTCACTCACACAGGTAGATTCCCTGCTCTTTACACTTTGGTCTTCACTTGTATGGGTAGATACCCTAATCATTACACTTTTTGGTCTTTACACTCTTTGGTTTGCACTTGCACAGGTAGACTTGCACTCTTCTGTCTTCTCTCACCCCAATAGACTCGCTGGTTTTTGCACTTTTGCACTGGTAGACCCGCTGTTCTTTACACTCTTTGGACTATGATTTTTTACTCAGTCTTTACACTCTTCGCTCTACACCCAAACAGGTAGGTTCTCTAAGTCTAACACTTCAGTTCTCACTTGCACAGTCAGACTTACCGGTCTTTAAAGATCTCACAAGATGGATCATAAAAACAGCAACTACAGATCACAAAGTGTCTCCTGGAAAAGAAAAAAAAGACATCACTCAACTCAAATTCCATGAACTAATAAAACATACAATAAATGGTTTACAAGTGATATTTACCTTCAGTATTACAGGACCTGCACGTGTATCCCACTCAAACATATGACAACACAGAACTCAGTGCATCAGATTCTCTTTAATAACATGTACAAATGCATTTTCTTCAAAAACGTGATACAGAAAATACATTGCCTCACATTATTCTGCTTTTTAACGCATTGAGAATGATTTTAGACCCATAAAGTTAACCTGAGAGTTCATATTGTTAGACCTTTACAGGGTAAGATCAACCATCCAAAAATAGATTTAAATAGACTAATGAATAAGAATAAAGCAACAAGAAATGTTCCAATTGAATCTAAATACAACTTTGCTAATGTCAGAAGCTAACTGCAGGCCCGTAGAAGGTAATGTTCACACTGATTGACGTCACCACCACACTGATTGCAGTACAGGCACTGTTCACTGTGAGCACTGCTATAAAACCTTTACAACAGCTTATTCAGATGGAACTGATCTCTGCCATACATCACAAAATTACACCAACAAAGAGCATTTCCTGAACATGTCAAAGCATAAAGACGACATTCTGTCTATACCTGATGAGTGCATACAGTGTGCGCGTGTGAATGTCACAATAATCACACTGGACAAGTTCAAACAAAAGGCACCAAAACTCAGAAGGGTCTTTCTTCACTAAACTGTGCACTAAATATCAAAATAGAAGAATCACTGCTGACAAGCGTAAGCCATGTCAAATATTTGAGAGCGGTTTTCCCATGAAGCAGACGTACGTCACCAAGACGCGTCGTTTTATATTTGTGGATAGATGTCAGCAAAAAAGTAATTCACATGCATCTGAAGTCTTTAAATGGAACTTTCCAGCATATACTGGATGCCAAGCAGCATGTTAGAAACTAATAAAATAAGACTGTTGCTGTTTTCATTTACAAAACCTGACACGATGAGCACCTGATGATGCACTGCTAGCATAGCTAACTTCACTGATTCATCAGATTCCAATGTTGTCAATCGATTGAATGGGCGTTATCAGTTGATAAATATGGGCCAAAAGGGGCCTTCTGCACCTACTAATAGGCTGTTATCATCCATCCACATAGTTAATCAGCTATAGATCACATTTGGCTGTGGCCGGAACTTAACGATAATTATTTATATTATTTATTAAATTTCCCATTAATTGTATTTTATTAATGTCTACACCAGGGGTGCCCAAACTCGGTCCTGGAGGGATGGAGTTTAATTATAACCCCAATCAGACACACTTGGGCAAGCTAATCAAGCTTTTACTAGGCCTTTTAGAAACATCCTTGCAGGTGTGTTGATCCAAGTTGGATCTAAAATCTGCATGACACCGGCCCTCCAGGGCCGAGTTTGGAAACCCCTGGTCTACTCTTACCCCCAACCCCAAATCCAACTGTCAGCGTAATGTAAAAACAAATCTGGATCTGGAGTCTTCTCTATTAGTATAGCTGATTAACCATGTTACAGCCTTCTGAACCTACCAGTAGGCACAGAAGGCCCCTACTGGCCCATATCTATCAGCTGATAACCACTGATAACAACCATTTAATCGAGTAATAACATTCGAAGCGTGTGACTGATTAAGATATCAAAATATTTGCTGCATGAAAGCATTTGCTTTTCAGATTTCCTTTCAGGAAACATCAAACAATTTGCAACAACTGAAGTAAACAAAAATGAATTCTCAATTAAATCAAATCCAGGGCGTCTTGGTGACATACATGTGGCTAAATGGCTAAATCAAAATACAATAGAATCCATGAACAACAATCATTATAGATAAACAAACATTATGATAAAAATATTTTGATCTATATTTACTATGCAACAATTAACCAAACTCAGTCACGTGTCGAACTTGTGCATTACCTTGTGGTTAGTGCAATATCAAGCTTTTGCAATTGAGCATTGCTCCACAATTCTGTTCGATTCATTGTCCAAATGCCAACAATCTATAAAAAGTTATAAAGTGGGCCAGTTTGAGTGCTTTTCACGATCACAAAATTCACATTTTCAAGCACTAAAATTAGTCAAATATGTTGAGTATTACACATTTAATAAAATACACGTAGTAAATGAAATGGCTCCTCATAGAGGACTACTCTTACTGTGTAGCTTTCATCCCTGGTTAAATGCAAAGAAATATATCAACCAACTGTCAAATCAGTGAAGAGGCCAACATAAATTGTGCTTTGAACTGCCAGACCCAAAGACTAGGTATGTTTAGTCTTTGATCGGTTAAAGAGAATAGTTGAGATATTTAGTCAATAGTATTCCTGTTACACACCAACTCCTCAGTAGTGGCATTTGTAGTCGTATGTGATCGTTTCATCTCCTGAGAGCCCCCACTACATTTCTTCCTCAGCATAAACCTGTACAGCATGGCTATGTACCCACGTGAATAAAAATAAATAGGAGATATTTTACCGGACAAATTCTGTTGTTTAGCAGCTGCACAAAGCATGTTTGTTCAGGTTTCATTTAGCCAGAAGCGAAATGAATGACTCAAACTCTTTCTGAAATTGCCACTTGAACAACTTCAGACAATCTTCACAGTTAGTACTCACACCGTGACATCCGGCTTAGTTAAAAATGCAACAAAAAGCTGCCTTTAACTGTTTACAAAGGGGAAAGAGAATCACAAAATTAAAAACGTTCAAAGAAAACTGAAGATCTCCAAGGTTCTCTATCAGGTCCAAGCCACTTTGCGGGAAATGGCCTGTTTAAAGCACTCTGGGTCCGTGTTCCCGCCTGGTCTCAAAGCTCTTTCAAGACTTACCAGAACATTCTGATGGGACTCACGAATGTTGACGGGGTGTTTGGCTCTGAGCAGCTCGTAGGCAGCAATAAGCCTCATGTTTTGTTTGACCATGAGGTACTGAATAATGCAAGTGGGGGCTAGGGAAAACCCATCCCGACAATGCACCAGCACTCGCTTCTTCTTCTCCGTGGAGGCATCGATGCACTCGTTGATGTCCTCAAAGCATCTGTGCTTAAGCGCAAGCCCTTCTTGGACAGTGTCCGGAAGGTCGCTCATGTCCACTTTGAGTCGAGACCAACTATGCTTGACACCCCTTGAACAAGTGCAAGGAATGACTCTTAAACAAGTCTCTCCAGGTAGGCTGCTCATGTCAATAACACTGTCGATGTTATTGCGGCACAACGTACGTCCGTTATAAGCCGCGTTCAGGTTGCCCACGTAAATGTAATCCGTAACCTTGGATATGACCGGTTCGGAGTACTGGAAATGCTCAGGGACACTCTGCTTGGGTTCGGGGGTCTCTGGGCCTGTCTTAGCACTGCCAGGCACAGCTCTGCGGCTGTAGTTGCGCATTTTCTTGGATCCGGAGCGGGAAGGAGGATTGGAATCGGATTCAGAGCTGCTGTTCCAAGGAGGGGAGAAAAGCGAAAAGCGACTGGAGGATTTGCTCTTGGTGAGGTGCTCCACTGGACTGGAGAGACCGGAGCTGGAGGTGGTGGTGGAGCCAGAAGCACAGAAGAGAGACGCTCTTTCCAGGGAACCTGTGCTGCTGGCTGCTCCGGCACTGTGGGCCTGCTCCATCTTATGAAAATAAAAAGTAAAATGCGGGTCTCAAAATGGGCCTTTTTAACAATGAGTTACAAGCTGCTGACTTGAAAGTACTTCCACTAACCTGAGCTTTGAGGTTGTTCTTCCATTCCTGGGTCTCCAGAGCTTTGAAGCGTCCATTGCTGTCTGAAGACACTGAGAGACACAGGGGCCGATGGGTCCTGGGGGGGAGCTGGGGTGTCAGGGCCATGGCAAGCGGCCGGGAGTCAGGCTGCTCGTTCCTACTCATCAGATCCGGACAGGAGCCTTCAAAACAAATCAAGGCAGTTCAGGTCAGTGAACAAGCAACTGAGCTTCTTCAAAGTTATGATTTTAGTCGTTTATATGGCTTTTTTTATTTTATATGACCGAAAAAGAATGGATCTGACAATTAAACTTTACAAATTCAACACTACCTGTATTGTCCACTTGATTTTGAGGAGTGTTGAGGAGTTAGGGTAGGGGTCACCAATCTCGGTCCTCAAGGGCCAGAGTCCCTGCAGGGTTTAGCTCCAACTTGCCTCAACACACCTGCCTGAATGTTTCAAGTTTACCTAGTAAGACCTTAATTAGCTTGTTCAGGTGTGTTTTATTAGGGTTGGAGCTAAAATCTGCTGGACACTGGCCCTCCAGGAACAAGTTTGGTGAACCCTGAGTTAGGGTTATGGTTATTCTTATAATCTACTGAATGGCCATTGTGTTCGTGCTCTTAACATACATGTCTCCAATGGCCATTGCTGGTATAGTCACATTTTAAAAATGTTAGTACAATTTGTATCAAAGCAGGTATTTTTCACAACACCAAAGGCTGCATTTACACTGCATGGTTCAAGTAAACCAATTCGGATTTTTTTTCTCTCATGTGGCACAGATCCCTTATAGCCCATGTATGTGTAAGCAGGAAAAAAATATCACATGGATTCTGATTTAATCAAATCAGATTCAGGCCTTGTTCATATGTGGAAATTTATATGATATGAATCGGATCTGTGTTCTCGAGTCTGCATTGTAAGTAGGTAGATCGGATTTTTACCTGTCAATGCGAGTCGCGCGTCATTAAAAACTGTAGCAAATGACGTCAACTGTGACGCTTTCATTTCAGAGCAGACTTCAGCAGAGTCCCAAACCTTAAATCTCATACACGAGGACTAACAAAGCGTTTATATTTTCATATAGCACAAGTATTTAAGCATGTTAAAGAGAAAGAGAGACAGCGCAACATCCCCCACGTAAACAATATAAACTAAAACTGTAGCATAAATCACATGCATAAATCACACCATGGAAATAACAAAGATGCTTACTGGTTTAAAGAAGCCTAGATTAAAAGAAGATGGGCAAACGAGAACTTTTTTGCCATAAATTATAGTAGAACAACTAGTCAAAAAGAATTTAAAATACGATACATAAATGAAAAAAAAAAAAAAGAGCACTCTTATTATCAGCTGTCAGTCAGCGCCCGCTCTTTTTTTTTCTAGTCATTGCGTCTTTGCCATGTACAGTGTAAATGTAGTCAATCGGACATGAGTCACGTTTAAAAGGTGATGTAAGCGGGTCATCAAAAAAAATAAATCAGATTTAGTCACAAAATCGGATTTAACCAACAAGATCCGCAGTGTTAATGCAGCCAAAGTGAACGCAGTAGCTTCAACACATCAGATGGACAACCGCTCAGTGAAACAAAAACATAGTTTCAGTCCCCGCATGAGAGGATGTACCTTTCCATACCTACAGGTGGAAACAGTCAGCTGTATCATTCCATAAAGGGAAACCAGAAGTAGCACTGCACACATACAGTACAAACCGTAAACAAAGCAGCTTTTAGATACCATTTTTACAGCACTTTTCACTCACAACAGAGAGGTTTGCTCGTGCAAATATGTCTGATAATCTCTATGATCTTTTTCTTGTTCCATTCTGACTAGCATTGTTTGATTAGTTTCGTCACTTCTGTTTTTTCCCCCTGTGCTCTGAATCATAGTTGGAACAGCCAAAAAGATCGATCTCTTTTGCCGACGACCAATATGATTCCACATGCCGATTCGGACAAAACCCCTAAAGCATGGCCCCTTCAAGATGCAATGTATGCAACCCACTTGATTTTTCTCTGTCATTAAGTGGTTCCAAACTAGAGTTTGTCTTCCATTGAACACAAAATTAAATAATTTGAAGAATATTCCAGTAGCTACTGAAATCCAAAACAATACTATGAAGATCAATTGCTACGATTCTTCAAAATACATTACTTTGTGGTCATCAGAAGACATAAACTCATAAAGGTTTGGAACAGAGTGCGAGTAACTACCCTTTTAAAACGTACAGTTACTTGATCTTAGATTTAAAACGGTGACCAAGTTTAAGATGTCGGACATGTTGATTGTGGACATTATGAAAACTCTTAATGTAAAACAGAGCCCCACTTCAGGCATGCTCTTAAGCGCTCAACAGGCTGATGAGAAACTGTGCTCAAGTTTCTCCCTATAAGGCACCAGGCTTGTCAGTCAGTGTGTGTGATTCAATGAGGACCCTCATTAATGGAGCTGAGAGTTTGTTTGATCCAGGACAACACGACTCAGGCACTAATACTCCCACATATGTCACTTCAGACAGCCATTCCATCGTTTTACTGTTCCACCAATTGACTACGTACATGTTTGTTAACACGACACAAAGCTAACCAGCAGTTGTGACAAAATCTGTTCAGCTGTGAATACATTTTGAAATCTGTGCTGGTGGTGAAAATAATAGTCGTTGTCAACGTTTCATTGTTATCCCTCTGAGGGGTTTGAGGACAACAAAAAAAAAACTTTTAAAAGCTTTACGCAATACACCACATTGAAAATGTATTATATACACAGTACAGATACCTAATACACCTTTTCGGAAAGGATACTATTGCCCCGTTTCCACTGAGTGGTACGGTACGGTACACTTTTATGGCTGTTTCCACTGTCAAAAGGCATACCAACCCGAACCATACCACTTTTTCTGTATCCTTCCCAAAGCGTACCAAACACAAGAAAGGGTACCCAAAGATGCAACTACACGCGCAGCTAAATGCTAATTGGTTACAGAGATACGTCATGAGCTCGTGTGGAGCTAGCCAGAATAAAAACAAAGGAACCACCATGGTTTTATACACAGCCGAAAGATTACACCATAATACTATATGCATATAATAACGAGCCATGGATGACCCGAGGTCAAACAAACCTTGTCGCTGTCTTGATGTACAGACACAAATATCTATATTTAATATAATAAACTTCTTGGGCTGACGATAATAACACGAGTGTGATTACTGAAGTGTCTCCGTCATCTGATTCATTCATAAAGACAAGGACAAACGCGAGAGTGAAGCGCAACAAGCCCGACAAAACACAGGAGCAAATTTTTTCAGCAACCTGAATCACGAACAAACTGCCGTGTTTACCATCGCCTTTTGGACTATTATGAACTCGGAATGACAGAATTACTCTCTAACAGAGGCACTACGTGCCGGTAAAGATTAAATACACAGAAGAGAGGTTTGCACTGACTGTGGGCTATGTTGCATGTTGTTTTTGAACCTAAATAAGGACTAAATGTATTCTGAGGGTAGTTTTTCTTTAGTTGGTAACATGTCGAGGACAGTAAGAGTCTGTGTGTGCTCATATATGTTGTATTTATTTTTTTAAGTTTATATATCTGCAGACGTTACAGTAGGCTATTTCGCACTGTCATTTATCTGCAGGTATAATCAAATCCTGTTCACAGAAAAGTTAAAAGTAATAAACATTTATACAGAAGTATTTATGTTTATAAAGCATCTGTCTTGAGAGAATTGCTTATCATATGATATGTGAACGACCCGTACAGCTTTACTGTAGACATTTATTCGAGGGAGAATGACGTCGACTGAAACTTTCTGTCGTACACCACCCCCACTAAAAGGGTAACCTTGGTAGTGTAAACGCAAGCCTGATAAAGGTGACCCGTACCATACTGTACTGTACCAGTCAGTGGAATCGGGCCATTATTACTGTATAACTGGAGTTTAACTATGTTCTATACTGTCCTCATACAATGGACAACTCTCTAACTTCTCTGATGTAATAACGTGCATGTACTTTTTGGCTATTGTGCTAAATTCCTCCTAATTTAGCTATTTTTAAGTTACTTTACTCTTAGTAAATGCAGTACAAACAGAAAACTAGGTACTGAAGGCAAAAATGAATTATCAATACAGTTAATATTATGGATCCAATTAAAACATTTGAGTCACTTAAAAGATAAGAAAATAAAAAGTGTCAAAAAGAAGTCACATTTTGGTGTCAGCATAATTATTGTAAATGTAATGTAATTACTTTAGTTTTTCAAATGATCTCTGAAATTCAAATGTCAATATGTAGCTGCTTTAGAACAATAGTTATTGTAAAAAAGCTTTACAAATAAACTTGAACTGAATTTTAATTGAAGTTCTGTTGGCATTTAGACAGTAAATACTCTAAACTATACTATTTACATATAGTTTTTTATAGTAAGTACCTCATTTTTAATATATATTTACAAGCAAGCACATTTTGCTTATTAACCAAGATTAATTCTGAGCAGTTTCTGAACTACCGCATTATTCCTTTTAATGTATAGAATACTCTAAGTTTATTCCCAATCATTACCCAACTCCTATGAAAATTTAACACACCAAGACATTTAACAGAAACTGACCTAAATGTACGGGAGAGTAAAGTATGTTATAAGAATATTATATATATATATGTGTGTGTGTGTGTGTGTGTGTGTGTGTGTGTGTATATATATATATATATATATATATATATGTATATATAT